TATATATATATATTTTAATACATTTATCTCACATATATAATTGTACATTTTTTAATACGTTATTATAATAAATATTATATGTCTCGATAATCAAATTGAGAGAATGCTCGCACAGAATTTGAAAGATCCAAATTCAAATCTCGGCTAGGGTAATATTTTTTACAATAAGTTCTTTACAGGTTTAAAGATATTAGTAGCATTAAGTCGACGATCAAATTTAATTAAGATTGTTATTATTTTAAATTATTTTATTGTTATTATTTTCATTGTATTGCACGTCCCAAAGTAATCGGCGCGTTCATATTTGAAAGAAATATATATTTAAAATACATATAGAAATATTATTCCAATATCTAATCATTTGATCATAATCAATTTTTTTCTTATTTAGTTGATATATTCATGTAATGGTCCTGTTCTATCTTTTAATATAGAAAAATAATTATATTTATCTCAGTTTTAAAAAGGTCGACTTTTTTTAGTGAAAAATGTAATTATGTAAGAGCTCATTTTTAAAAGAAATATTTTTAGCTGAGTGCTACTGATATTAATTGATAAAAGAATATATTACTGAAGGAGATGATTATTCAAAATATGGCAATCTTATCAGACTTCTATATATCAATTAGATTACTGTACATTGCCGACTATTATCTCTTTCACACGCTGTATCTACATGCTATTGCATCCCGAAACTAGCATCTCTGCCTCAAGTTTTGAGTTTTGAAGTACAAAAATTGCACAGTTTCGTGTTCTGGGAACTTGAAACTTTTCAGAATTTTGTGATTTTCGAGTATCTCATCCTTAATGTATTATATATTATATATATAATATATATTATAATTTGTGTGTGTGTGTGTGTGTGTGTGTGTGTGTGTGTGTGTACACGCGCGCGCATGTATATGTATATATAACATATAAAATGCATCTATAAATATGTACAGAAATATTCATGCATGTAAAGATATTGATCACACAGATTTAATTTGTCCATTAAATGATTTTTATTATGATACATGACATCGTATGAATCAATGCACAACATGTATAACAATTCGTAACGATATCCAACCGCAACGCTGCTCACCCCGCATACATTTAGTACATATGTTTAAGAAAGATTTATTGCGTCCATTAGCATTACAAAATATCGTCGCATGTATTACGAATCATTTATGCTTATTTTTAAAACAATCCGCGCTAATTTTTAAGCAGTTATTTGTAGCAATATGTGGAGTAGAAAGGTTAATTCGTGTTCATGTAATCCCGTCGTGGAACATTATTATGTTATCAATATCTTTTTTTTCTAAGGTTTTTCTTTTTTTTTTATAAGAATCAATAAAATGACTTCTCTCGAACTTGTGATTCCATTACAAATGTATCTTCATTCAGAATCATCTATTATCACCCGCACATATACAGAGTATATAAAGTATAGAATACATTAATCTACAAGAAAAAATATACAATGTTTTTATACATTTATCTTTTAACAAAACATTTTATATTATTACATATATAGCTATATCCATATATATACACATATATGGTTCTTTCGATATTATAAGATCTAATTTCGATACATAAATTAATTTCTAAAACAATAAGAAAGCCAAATTGAAAATATAATAATATTTATTTCATTAAGTTGTATGTTAGATACAATAATAGAATATATTGATACAATATCAATTATCTGTTTTTATTATATCGCTTTAATCGGTTTATTTAATCATCACTATATTACTCTGTACATTAATCTATTTATACATAAATCTTTTCATGTAAGGATCTATGATCTTCTCCTGTTTTCCATCTTGTAGATCAAAGAGAAGATCAGTGAACCTTAATTAACAACCATCATAATATTACGAGTGGTCAGATCTGTCACAACATTCCACGCTTATCCAACGTCGTATTTATGTAAACGTATATTAGTCCAATTAGAAAAAAAACCAAATTAACCTTTTTAAAAGTGCTAAAAAGCAGTTACGGATTTTTAGCTACGCGACATTTACAGAGTTATAAAATAAAACTTTATAAAAGAAATATCATTTTTCTCTGTACGTATTACATCTTCCACTTAAATCTTCCACAAACTTTTTTTATTTTCAAATGTTTATTATTATATGATCGACTACAACGTATAGAAGAAGTCTATGTCGACGACAACGAGATCCACATATGCAGTAATCAGTGCTATCAGGATTTCATCCAAGATATCAATACTGATATCTGATGCGATATCTTGAGGAAGTAGTAATACACATTATGAACATTATTTTTAATCGCTATTGTGTTGTTTCTATCATGAAACCGAAAGTTTCTAATGAAGAATACTGTGCTGAGTCAAAAGTCACTAGTTTTATTTCATATAATTATCCTCATAATATCAGGAAAGTAACGCTCTGAATCACTTTTTCTCCTTGTCCATCATTCCAGAATATAATACAAGTATCCATTCTGTTATTGTATTTCCTTCACGTATACGATAATCATATGTTCTGCTTAAAGTATCATTACTGCAATATTATGACAGCGAAGAAGTATTAAAGAGTGAGGGAAGATTCTTCATGCTTGAATTGCACCTTAAATCATTTGCAAAATGTATTACGAGTAATATAAAGTAAATCTCTTTTCTCGACGTGTATCTGCGATGAAGCGAAAATCCATAGGATTCAATAAGGACAAATACTGACGCACCGTATATTCAGTATTTGACGTAGAAGTGATGATTTTCGCGATCTCAAGCACGTTCTATAATGTTGTTTTCTGTCATTGAACACCTTTACATACACATATTGCTATTGACTGCCATATATCCGCATGAACAATTATCGGTCGGCATACTTTTCTTTCCTTTTTTTTTCTTGTGTATTTTAAGTGACGATGGCGAGATGAAATGTTATAAAAGTTTCCAACCTTAGTTGTGTACATAGGAAAAAGTAAGTCCATCTTCTTTCATGCGAAATATTCTTTGAGTAATATGTACAAGAGTTTTTGTGTGTAATGTAAGAAAATAACGCCACGCTCAGTCGGTTCTAAATAAAGATCGCTATTGACGATCAACTTTGAAGGGATGAGCTTCTTTCTTCGTGTGTTGGATTGTAAAAAGTCTTCATATGCTTTAAGAGGTACCTCACATTGGGTTTCTCAGCACCGGTTTGGCATGTACAATAAATAAATAACGAACCGTTTAATAAAACGAGCGTCGCATCATTTCTACGAGGTAAATTGGTGAAACAGCTCAGACGCCTTCGCCATAATCGCGATCACCTACGTTAATACGATCGGGAGCAGCAGTTACGCTGAAGCCAAGGATCCTGTTATCTACTTTGAACATCTTTCCCTTCTTTGGTTTTTTGGATTTTCCCTAAAAAAAATAAAGATTTCTCAATAATCAATGTTTCATAGATGTGAAAAAAAAAGATACTTGTACTTAATTTAATATTATAATATTTATAATAATGTAAATTGTATTAAGAGAACTATTTCTGATGAGAATATATAATTTACTTTAATAAATTTAATTAAATATTATATCTTATTAAGTCAAGATGGTCTAATATTAACAAGAATATATCTTAAAACAAAGATAATATATGTAATTATAAACTTCTAATTATACCTTAACTTCTTGAAATTCTGCAGGTGCATTTGGATTAACAGCGGGTGCTGGCTTACACAAATCATCTGCTTGTGCCTGAGGACGTTGCGCTGATCGCCATTTGCTTCGTTTTTCAAGGAATTGCTTGGCGAATTCCGTGCTCTGCTTGGTATCTCCAAGATAAACGCGAACGTACTCCTTAACTTCATACGCCGATTCGATGTCTCGCAAAAATCCAACAAACGTAGGGACTGCAAATGCATATGCGTATAAGACAAAATTTTCATTCTCGTTCTCTCTTTTCTCTACCTCTCTCTCTCTCTCTCTCTCTCTCTCTCTCTCTCTCTCTCTCTTCTCTCTTTCTCTCTCTTTCTGAGAATATTCGACATAAAATACTTACTGTCCACAGACGCCTGTATACTACTCAATGCTTTATTACACCATTGCGTGAATTCGTCGGTCTTGGCAGTGTTCTGTTCAAACAATTTCTTCACTAGTTCTTCTTCTCTCTTATTCTTACTTTTGGACGCTTTGTTATTATTATTTTGCTGCTGTTGTTGGCTGGAGGCAGATTTTGTAATTACAGTTTGTTTAGCGGGCTGCTTCATGGGGGTAGACGACTTAACAGGAGTAGGATCCCAGAAGCCGGTAGTACCGGAATTTGTGGACCACACTTGGCTGCTTGACGCATTCGAATTAGCCCAATTCAAGCACTGTGATGCTGTACCCCATATTCCGGAATTCTGCAGCATATTCGCAGATTCTTTCTGACTAGCTTTTTCTAGTCGTTCTCTTTCCTGCTAAGATATTTCAATTCTTCATTATATAAACTCTTTCAAAAATAATATTTTATGTTATTCGCATATTCAAGAGACAATAAGTACCTTTACCTTAACGACGCGCTCCTGCTCTTCTTGCTGAATCTGCGCGAGACTCTTCACTTGCAGAGGTTTACTAGCGGTAATAGCCTTTTCC